TTGGCGCTGCAACAGCCTGCAACAACTATGCTCTGACGATTATACGATCTGAATTATTCACAATACAATCCGAGCGTAATTCGATCACACATGCTGTACGTTTTATCAAGAATTAATTTTCATTCGGAGAACCATAATTAATAGCAATCTGTTAATAATGAGCAACAATAGGGAGAAAATAGTAATGCACTGGACGAAATACAAGTAGCTTTATCGATTATCATCGGCAGTGTATAAACAGAAGGAGGTCCGCTCGGGTTTGGGATAATGCGCTAAATCACGCGTGAGAAAGTCGCGCGATTTAATTCAGACGAATATTTGCACGTGGCATCCGCCGAAAATTTAATTTATTTTCCGGCGCATATTGCCGTGTCAATTAAACGTAACGGCGAAAGTAGTAGGACCCGGCGATACTGAGGGTGCATTAAGCAAAAAGTGACGTTAATAAAATTAAACATTTGCGCGCAGACCGGATTAATTTTTCTCGATTTTTATTTGAGAACTCTCTAGTTGGGTGTGTGTGTGTGTTTTTTTTAATTTGCGTACCAGGTGGCCGTGTCAGGCGCAACGCTACAACGCGTCACGAAAATTCCGGCAGGAGGCAATCAAACGTTTTGTCGCAAACGAACGGTGATATTAAACTAAGATTTCTATCCGCTCCGCCGAGAGATCCGCGCCTTTCTCTCTCCTCTCGAGCGGGGCCCCTGCTATTCCTTCGTCGCGAGTGTTTTTCTAAAGCATTTTCATCCGCCGGCGCGGATCGGCGCCGACGGATTCGCTACGCGCGAATATTAAATCGCTATCCGTCCTCCCTCCCGCCGTTGACTGCCTAAATTAAAATTCCATCTACGAATTCCATCCTGTCGCGCCTACGACTTCGCCGCGGCGAGAACTCTCGTAATCCGGCCTTGTGTCTCGCGAAACTCTAGAATTTTTCTCCCCCGGTTGAAGAGGAAGACGCGCCCCACCTACGGCTTCGTTATCGAACTTATAAAACCTTAGAGATTGAAGTTGCCCTTCCCTCCCCGCCCCTTCCTCTCCCGCGCTGTACTATTAAGTGGAATTAACCTGCCCGGTGAGAATCTTAAGATTCCGATTGCTCTAACTTGGCGCGTACCATCGTAGAACTTTGCCGCGGAACTCATTGCAGCATTCAATCCGCAATTTAGATTTCTCATTAAACGTTGAAAATCACCGATAGATGCACGCGAGTTAACCGTAGTCCCGCTCTTAGACCCGGGCTTGCGCCGCCGACTTAATTATTAGGGGCTGTTAGCTTATCGTGTAACGTACATACGGGAAGTACACAGAAAGTGTACGTGAATGACACAGGACGCGTGCCCGCGCCAGCGCTGTAATCGTTAGTCACAATCCTGACAGGTACGGACGCTTTGACATATTTGGACTCAATTTTTGATTAAAATTTGATGAAGGGCCCGCGATTCGATCGCAATTTCCCGATTAAATATTTTGAAAAGCAAATCCGATATATATTCTCCGCCTCTATTACACGGATGTAAATTTTTCACCGACGACCGTACTGCGATGTCGTCGACGAGATGAAACCCCGTTGACGTCATAACGCAACGCTCGGAGGTAATTAGCGATATTATCTGCCGTAAAAGCCGCCTAAATTTAAACAGTCAAATAGTGGAATTGCCCTCCCCGCCGGCGAAAGAAGCTGCTACAATAAGGACGTTTCGCGCACAAACGGCCCGGAAAAGCTATAAGACTGTTAATAAATTCCGCTCAAGTTTGCGAAAGCTAATCGATTTCATACTGCAAATTTATAGGATCCCGAGCTGTTGCTCAAATATTTCTTTACCAGGGAGCAATGAAGGCAGTAAATGTCCGGCCGATACGATCTATACATCCACGCTTTCAGTAACAAACACGAACGCCAGAATATAGAGACATTAACCCGTGAACGCTCGTGCTATGAGCTCTCTGTGCACATATTAGAAACTATTTCCGTGCAACACAGCGGTGTACCGAATATTACGTTATATTCTCTTAGTTACCTTTATTCCCGAATATCTGCGCTATAACCGCGTTAAAGAAGTCATAAGTTCATTATATATTTACATTCGGCTTAAATTGAGAAAAATACACCCTGAATTACAGCGCGTTTTATCATTGTTAAAAAGTAAACCGGTGTTAACTTATCAAACATTTACATTCGTCGCGGTTGAACAATTCAATTAGAATTCAATACTTTAATTAGACACCGTGAGCCACGATATATCGCCGATAGACAACCAAGTTGAAACTCCATTTTTTTCGGACGTTATCGTACAAGTTGCAATTTTTTTAATTATCTTATTACAGGCTAATTACCGACACGCGAGATTGGAATGTCAATACGCGCCTTAAGATGACGTGTAAAACGGAAATTAAAAGATGGTCAAATACAATTTGCAACAGTAAAGTCCCCCCGTTACGAGATAGCAGCTGTTCAACGTCCAAGTTCAATCGCGAATCGTTTTTCGCAACACGATCTAACAACCAATTTTCCACTGAACAGATTTCGCTCCAAGGGCAATAAATTCACGGCGGAGCTCACAGACGATGCCTATTAATTTAGCGGAGATCCCGCTATCTCGTATTACGGGCCTATCTCGTAATAGAGGACTATCCTCTGTTTGCAATTACGTTTACGGTTTTGCGCGAAACTTTCGGGCTCGGCGACTCGTCGGGTCAAGACCCTACGAGTGTGCGAGCCGCGACGGTCAGTCCCTAACAAAGACGGACGAGCAAAAAGCTTAATCTAAACATCTACCGTCCTTCGCGTTGATTCGCCGGTCGCTTATTTTTGCCGACGTCAACAAATCCTCTTTCTCATTAATAGCACGTCGGCCATTAACTCGACCATTTATCATCGGCCGATGTGGCGATCTGGCATCTCGTGGACCTTGGTAGCGCCATATTTATACCACGCGTATCTGTATCGATCGCGTAAATTTCTTCGGGGGGGTAATGGCATTTAATTTCACCGCGTGTCACTTAGCCCTCCCGGCGGACGGGTCCATTAGGCTCGCACCTGTTTCGGGAACGGCGTTCGTGTTATCAATTAGAGGAACGGTTTTCGAGGCCGCGATATTTCGCGCGGACGCGCGAGACGTCGGGCAAATCGCGACCCCGTATCGATATCTCGCGACGCGAGAGAGCGGTCGTCTCTAAAATTAGGCACGTAAAATATCTCCGAGCGCCCGGCGTGCTCAGGTATCGCGTTAATTTCGATACGCGTGCACGCGTACGTCGCGCGAGAGGTCACGTATCGATGGCTGCGCGTTTTGCCGGCGTCTGATCCACTTGCCGAAATTCCCCGCGAGAAGTCTCGCGACGCGGCGCGACGCTAAAATCGTATATCGCGACAAGTGCGGAATATTGATCTCGTGAATATTTTAAGGCGTCGAACGCGCACGCACGCACACACGTGCGCTCGCGCGCGGTACGAACGCGGAAACCGTTGTCACTGGAATCCCCATAGATTATTCTGCATTGTGGCAAACGCGAGTAGCGTCGCACGCGTGTGCACGTATGTATAATGCATACGTGTGACGAGCGTTTACATGTTTTAGATTTACCAGCTTGGCGCGGGGGATCAAAAGTGAGTATTCTCGCGATACCTCGTGTTTAATTATGAAACGACGAGATGCTAAATTTACCTAGAAGAATAATAGCCGCGCGATTCTTCGTTAATTCGCGCGGTTCATTGGACGGTTAGTTTACATTTTGCGGCCGCGGTGCGGTAATTAAAAAGTCATTTCTTATTCGGTGCCGCGCTTCAAAGAGCGCCGTGTGCTCTCGCCAAAGTTCTAAAGGAGGAAAAGGATTTCTTCCGTCTCCTCCGCGAAATTCGTTCGGATTAGCGCACGTCCGTTCTTACGAGAAACGGTAAGCGGGGCCCGTTTTTATCAGATAGAAACGGAATGTCTATTATATTCCGTGTATACAAGTTCGCGGTGACGTGAAAAATGTGCATCGCCCTTCGAGCGGACGTTTTACGCGTATTCAAGTTTACGCGTTCAACTGACGCGACCGGGCGTTTGATATTTAAGGTACGTGCAATTATACGCGCAAGTAGATTTCGTAGCACGAATCGATGACCCTTCGATCAGTCTCCTACCTGAACGAGGGCGTGCGAAATAATACATTTCTAACAAGTAAACAAAACAGGCTAATTTTTAAGAGCATAAAAGATGACAATGTGTAATATACATTTTTTTTAAATGGACGCGTTTCGGCTCACAGTGCTTTCATAAGTGCAAAATTAAAATCAAATACAAAACTCCGTAACAAGGTAGGCCGACCAGCATTCTGCGATACTGTACAATTCTTCTATACTTTTTACGTAATCTGTACGTGAAACATTTACTCTTAGGTCTCACTTGACAAGGACCTAAACCAAAGGTCGAAACGTTGTGAAAGCCGGCCACATTTATTTGATAAATGTGGCCGGCTGAGGCCGATTGAAACTTGAAATTTTATTTATCCTAATACTGGCAATCTGATGAGATGTACCATTTAAAATCAAATAGTTAAATCGCCTGGTATATAATTGTCAACGCGTAATGCGACGTTGGTCAGTTGAAACAGACAGGATAAGTCAAGGGTTAAAAACGTTGCTGAGGCAAGTGGGCGCAACGGTTGTGGTCAATGCTTTGTGTTCTGCACCGGATTGGACGGCCTGTATGGAACCTCCTGCAGTCGGTTCAGTTTGGGCCCAATTTATCTAACAAACGTTTCTCGCTGTGATAATTCGCTAACCGTTGTTCCGTGTATGCAGTTTGAAATACCCTATTTCCCTTTTTCACCAATCGGTATATTCAACGATGCATCCTTCGTCGCGTTAACTCCGCGACGAAGATTCGCACGCGCGTCCGCCCGCGTGCTCGGAGCACCTTGGCGTCAGCAGAATTTGGCGACTCGGTATTAGCTAATCGGGGCAATTTCTCCGTAATGCCGGAGCTGCTTCTCAAAACAGGTAAGGTATGTACCTCGTTATCGCGCATCCGGAGGATTCCCTGGCATCCCCGATAGCATCGATCGCAGATCGTTGCATCCTCCGCGCTGATTCCGGAGCGAAATCCGTATTGAGCGCACTGGAGTATCCGGCCATCGTAGCTGCGATCCGTGCGAGAGCGCTATAGCGACATATCCTTTAGGGATGAATCCGCCGTAACGTGCACCAAGGAGAACCACTGATATACGTGTGTGTGTGTATGTGTGTGTGTGTGTGCGTGTGTGTCGCGTGTACGCGCGAGCGCGCGCGCGCGCGTCGGTGTACGTGTGTGTAATCCCGCACACGGCGCCTCCAACCACCCCTTTGCGGTCGAAGAAACGTATAATCCGCGGTGGTATCCCACGGGTAACTGTCACACGTGTTACACGTCGCACACACTTCGCGCACGGGCGGAATATACAGAGTACGGGGATCCCGCTCTTCTCTCGCGTGTACAAGCGCGCGCGCGCGCGCCGTCGCTCGCCTGTCCTCTCCGTCGGGATCTCACGTCGGGCGGACGGAGCCGGCACAATCTCTGAAGACGTGACCCCGAGCCATCCGCGGAAAACCACCGAGTACACCAGCGCGTCGCGTCGCGCCGCGTCGCGTAGCGTAGCGCTGCTCCGCTTCCGCCGTCGCTCACGCCAACATTATTCTGGCGAACGCACCGCACCAGTGTCCCGCGGAAGGGGTGACGCACGAGGGCTGGTATCGTCAGGACGTGATCGAAGCACCCTCGGCCGCGAGTCCTCTCGGCGGCGCGCGTCGCTCAGCCCGCGGCATCACGACATGTATACTCTCTCTCGCGCGCGTCCACCGAACGGCGGCCGCTCTCTCGTCCGACGCGACGCGGGGGGTTGACGCGAGAATCTCCAGGTGCGAGAGACGCGGAGAGGCGCGAGCGTACGTTCCTTCCGCGCGATCGAACTCCTCGTGTCCCCGGGTCCACTCGCAACGGGGGGGAAGAGCACGGAGAGAGAGAGAGAGAGAGGGACGAGCGCGCGCGGGCTTCGACGTTGCTGACGACGTTCGCGTTTCGCAGGGTAAGGGTGGCTAAAGGGGTGACGAGACGAAGACTGTGTCGCGTCGCGGACGCGTCGTATCCGACCCGCACGGCAGACAGCACGGAACTACTGACGGTCCCTTCGCGAGCGTAATTCCATCCCCACCGCGCCGACGGCCAGGTTACCCCCACGACGGCGTCGTTGCTACACGCGCCCCTTACCCCCTCCTCGATAATGGGCACGCACCGAGAGCTATCCGGAGCGTGACACACGCTTACGCTTCTGGTGGGGGCTATAGTCGCGTGGCGGCGGTACCACTCGGAGGGGATGCGAGATGAACTTGGCGGCGGTGGTGGAAGCCTCGGCAGCAGCAACGGCGGCGGCGGCGGCGGCGGCGGCGGCGGCGGCGGCGGCGGCAGCAACGGCGGCGGCGGCGGCGATGGTGGCGGTGGTGGCGGTGGTTAGCAACGCATGCGCACGCCACGCGACCTACGTCGCCGCTGCTCTCGTTGCTCGTCGCTCCGACGGCGGATGCACTGCGCGCGGCCTCCTGAAAATCCACGACAAGTGCGTACGCATACTATACGTACGTACGCGAGCGACGCGTACAAACGAAGGCCGCGAGAGTGCAGGGACCTGCGGCCTCCGCTCCGCTCCGCGCCGCGCCGCGTCGCGTCGCGTCGCGTCGACCGCGACGAGGATGCTGGCTAAACGCAGCTACGTGACTCCTGTCCGCCAGCCGCAGGCGGGAGAGCATTACGGGGCGAATTACACGGCGCATCGGAAAAGAATTCGCGCGACTTTCTCGGAGTTTTACTGCAAAAGAGATTATGAGTTATCGTACGGTATAAAGTGTAATAATACCGCGGACCCGCGCGGAATGCCGTCGCGATATCACGAGATTACGCGCGTAAGGCCGTCGTTTGCAGCTTCCTGCACGCGTTTTCGCCGGCGCCGCCGCGAATGTATCGCTATCTTTTATATTCGAGGGCGTACCGCGCGGACGTTAAGGTCTTACGGGCCATTCGTTTCGATGCCAGAAACGGGTCTGTCGCCCGCGCCGCGTCGCCCGGGTATCACACTCGATCGAGATGACGCGCTCGGCAATTATAAATTAGGGGCCCGCGGTATTTTCAGTTACATTCATTGATGCCGTCGCATTGTTGTGTAATTGTGCGGAATGTTGTAATATTAATCTCGGCGTTTAAATGTTTAACATCCGCAGCATTTTGCTCCAATGGAATTCCACTCGCGCGCTACGCCGGAATGTCATAAATAGATCGCATTTTGAGTACTCGCAAAGAATACGCCGAAAGAAAACCGGAGCGAGGCGCGTCTATTTGCGGAGCGTCCGTTCGTTTATCGCGCAGGAAACTGCGCCGGGGGATCGCGGAGGCTGCGAACTCCCGCGGAAGAGACGCTGCACTTTGCGCGCCCTTTGCGCGTGGCTCTCTCGGCACAAGAGAGCTTCTTACGGTCATTGTGAAATTACGTCCAATCGTATATATGGAGATAAAACGGGGGGCCCTTGTACACACGGGGCGCGTTTCGACAGATGCTATTTTTTCGCAGCGAACGCTCGAATGAAACAAAAATCATTGCGTTGCATCGCGATTAGATTTATATGTATTTAAAGCACGGCGCGACATACATATCGGCCGAAAGAAAAATACGGTCCGCGCGCGCCGGTCCTTTGTCGCGTTGTTTTCGCGTACACGGCGTGGCTTTTGCATTTCGGGTATAATTATCTGCGGAATAACAAAACGCGTCTGTGCATACCGCGAAATTGAAACGGGACGACAGGAGAGCGTGACGCGCGAAATTCCAAGCAACTTCCGAAAGTTTTATCTTCCCCCCCCCCCCGAATCGAGACAATCGCCCGCGTCAAGAACGAATGTTATTAAGCCAGTTTAATGGAATCTCGTGGATAGTTTCGAGTAAATCTCTTAGGCGTTTAATAAAGAATTTGGAGCACGAGGCAGCGTATAGAGCGAGAGGCGGAGGAGGAAGAGGAGGAGGAGGTTGGCGTGTCCTGCTCGGCGCCGCCGACAATGATAACGGAACACGACAGCCCCGGCTGTTACGTGCCTCCTCGAGAAAATATCGCATCGTAATTCCGAAGCCCTACCATTGAAATTTTAATTTTGTATATCATGCTAACGACGCGCGCGTGTTTGGGTTTGTACGTGTACTCTGCGCCGAATGCCCTTCCCGTCGGACATTTTCTTACGACGAGTATGTACACGTACGCTTCAATTATTCGTTAAGATATTACGTCCGGCATCCGCGGGCGTCGCTGATGAAGATTTTATCAGGTTAACGATACCGCGCTATCGGCAACGCGATCCACGTCGGTAGAGAGGACGTCGACAGGTCGATCTGCGCTTAGTCCGCTTTCTTTATCTCTCCCGCGAAAACCGAGCGTTTCTGGCAAATCGATTAGAATTCACCTGCCGCGAGGCGCCCCGTTACCTGGGGCGCGTCCCGCGAGTCTTCGCCGTCGAACGCGCGAACGTTGACGCGCGAATAATTAATTTACTCGACTGTGAGAATACGTTAGGCGCGATTCCCGCTTCACTGCACGCGGCGCCGCGGTTCAAGAGACCCCGGGAAAGAATAACGAAAGGATAGCGCGTATTCCGCGCGCGGGGAAAACACGCCCGCGCGCCCCGCGTTCGCCGGGGGAAACTTGGCTAGAGAATTCGGAATATGGGGCTGGCAGCTTCGCGCGAGAGGCATCTCATTCGACACCACAGACGGTAATAACGAGAGCCCGACGGCGCGCGAGGTTACGTGCTTCCTCCAGAGAATATTAATCCGTAATGCTGAACTCGGTCTGTTGAATCTTCCAGCTCCCTATATCAGACGCTACGGAAGCTGCGGAGGGGAAGCCCCGATGGCGAGACTCGCGAAACGGAAACTTTTGCAGCAACCCGAAATACCGCCGGCTGTCCGCGGGCGATTCCGTGGAATTTGCCTCGTTCGTCATTTTTTAATTATTCCACCTCTCCGATAACGATCGTGTCCTCCTCCACCCACCCTCCTCCCCAAGAAACAACGCGAGTGCACGCGAGAATAAATTCGCGATAAGAGACGACTATGCGAAAAAAAAATGCTTCGGCGACGCAGGCGTAAACTATAGCCGTGCACTTGTCTGCACCGACCGAGCTCTCTTTGTTTGCTCGTTCGTACGTTCGTTCGTTCGTTCGTTCGTTCGTCCGTTCGGATTGTACGGATGCGCTTTTTCATGTACCGACCATACTCGGAGCAGGTGCAGGACCGGACAGAAGGGCGAACGACCGAACGAATCCGGTTCGGGATACGCGCTAGGCGAACTCCCTTCCTCGTCCGCGTATAATGTGGGGCTAGCTTAAACTGGTTGTCGTAATAAGAAGAGAGTTCATTCTTCGCTAATAGGGTTGGACGGTGGGAACAAACTTTTACTTTTGATTTACTCAGGAAGAAACTCCGCTCGGATGAACGGGCCCGTCGGTCGTTTTCAATTAAACGAATATTACATTAATTAAACATCAAGTAATATCAATATTGCCTCCATCATGTAATAACTTGCATAATCAACATTGCGTGCCTAATTATTCCATTAACTTGATAATAGTTTGTAGTAATTTTGTTTTATTATTTGCCGGAGGTAAAAAGAACACGTAGACGGGAAAAGAAATGCAATCTAGCGCGACGCACACACTGAAAAAAATTTCTGGTTGAATATGGACGAATCAGATAATTCCTTTAGGATTTACCAGAATTCCTTTAGATTACAGGAATTCTGGTAAATCCTAAAGGAATTATCTGATTCGTCCATATTCAACCAGAAATTTTTTTCAGTGCACGTATATGTATATATCAGTGCGAAAAAGTTCTTTGAAAACGTTAAAAACCGTAGCCATCCCAAAAGTGATCAAACCACGACTGTTTGAGGTAGCAAACCAATGAACCGTGTGAAATTTCACGTAATTATCCGGAAGTAATGCCGTCGGGGGAGCGTAACGCCTCCGCAGTCACTGTTAGCTTAATCGAGACGGTTTCCTTTTTTAATTCCGCGTAATGTCTGCTCCGGGAACCAACCTCTTTCCGAAGTTACAACGAGAAAGCTCGCATTAACAGAACGATAGGACGTAGACACGGTGCACGTGCACCTGCCTTTCGTGAAATTATCGCCTTACAAACGCCTAAATTTTCATAATCCACCTCCCCGTATTAAACTTGAATAAACTACAGCGGAAAATATATCTCGCGTTTTTCGAGGTAATTAAAAGCTTTCAGTCGAGATATTTTGCTATGCAAAAATATCAGTTTCCAAACGGTTTCGAGTGTTTCTTGTGTACCTTGGCGTGGAATATACAAGTGCGCCGTGCGCTTGTTTATTTCTACGAATTTTCTTGATTTTATTTAATTTCGGGCCACTTACCAGCGTTAATTTTGAAAAATAATTTCACGTTATAACGCCCGCGGTATTTAAACGGGAGAGGAGGGTTTCGGAAAGAAAGACTTTAGATTTTCCCCCCGAGAAATTTTAATCAGAATTCTTGTTCCTTTGAGTTTTCTTTCAAAACATAATAAGCTCCATTGTTCTCAGGAAATTGATCTCGCGTAAAATTTGTACGCGCGGCCATGCTGGATCGAAATATAAATATTACGTCGGGATTAACCGTGCTGTATTTCGAATTTTGGTCGTCCGTATATTTTTGACCGGTATTTACATTGTTTCATAAATTTTGTCTGATTAATGGAACGGATTATTGTGTTTTCCTTGAAAATAAAGTATTTGCGGAATTGCGCGCGGAATTATCCACGCTCCAATCTCGCTGGTATTATTGATTCATTCAGAAGTTTTCGCAAAATTGCACGCATCTCGATGTATTAGCGCGAAAATGTCAACGCGATGTTTGCATCTTCATTCGCGGGCGTTGCGCGGTTTCGCAAAGAAAAGTACGAGGATCAAAATACGTTTCCCACGTCGACCATTCGAAGCTGACTTTAAAGCAGCTTTTTATACGAATTTATCTAGTATTGGAAAGACATTGGCGCCTCTTACAGCTACCTCGGATGTATGTGTTCCATGATGATCCATTTATAACTGCTGCGAGAAGGCTGCGC